TTGTGCACTTGAGCGTGCAGATTTCCTGGCAGGCGCAGTACATACTTGGCACAGTATATACTTGGCGCGCGCTCTCATATGTGTGCTTTGCGGCCGCGGCCGCGCCCATCAAATCAACCAGCAGTTTGAGCGTTGCGGCGTGCCTTGGCCCCGACCATCAGTGCGATCGCAAACGCTGGCGCGCGCAGCAGCTCCTTGATGTAGAGATTGCGCGGCAGTCGCAGGATTTATGCACTTGAGCGTGCAGATTTTCCTGGCAGGCGCAGTATATACTTGGCACGCGCTCTCATATGTGTGCTTTGCGGCCGTGGCCGAGCAGGCAGCAACCGTGGTTATGGAGATGTCCATCCTGTCCAGGTATTTTAATCCATCATGAGCATCCTTTCGACCAAACTGCCTCTGCCGACACGCTCCCCACTGGCCGGCGAGGTTCCAGGAAAGGGGGGTCGCATGGTCTGCGGCAGGCACCCGTGTTAACAAACATGCACAAGAGCGCCTCTGATGGAGGGACAAAGAACATCTGCCCAGGAACCTTTTGAGACCTGCGAACCACCGACCTGCACGCGCGCGCGCGGTACCGTGTGGTGCGCCTGGCTTGAACCCCGCCTCAATCCAAAGGGCGCCAGACTGGGTCTGGGGCGCGCAGTCGAACCTGGGACCAAAGCCTGTCGCGGAGTCCTCCGACTGACCTCGCATCGCCCGCGAGGTTTGCGTGCATGGCACCTACGAGCGCCACCATGTGGATTCGATTCGGAGGCCTCTGTCACGCGTTCGAGTCGGGTGACGGTCTGTCTGGTGCTCCCAGCGGGTGGGACAACGCTTTTCCCGAGAAAAAAGACTTTGACGGTCCCAGAAGAAAAGAACTTAGACACATGCCATTGAAACGGCAGTTTTTGGGCAAGTGTTTGTCAATGTGACGGCTGAGTAACATTGCCCACCGCTCACCAGAGCACGCGCCGGCCTAGACCGGGGTCGGCAGATTAGTTTAACTCTTCTGTGTTCAGTATCAGTAACTGCCTGGTATTTGTTCTCAATATCGGTTTTTGGCTTCGAACCTTGGTTGCGGCCGTGGCAGACCAGGTAGACGTCATCGTGTGTGATGCCAATCAGTTCACGAACCGCAACTTCCGGTCCGATCATGCCGATCCGGCGACCAGCGCTGTCCTTACCATCCTTGACCAGATCCTTGTTTCAGCGAACAGAAAGCGTGAGTCGAGCAAGTGTATCACTTATAACTGGGAGGTCTCAACCCTCGCCACTGAGCAGCTCGCCGTTTTGGAAGCCTCCAAGCTGAAAACAAGCAGCTCAGACAGAAGTTGGAAAAAAGCCGTCGCCCGCGCCACCCCATGTGGCGCGGGCGCCGGACGGGAGCTTTCCTCGACGAGGTGCCTCGCCGCGCTTTGTGTCGAGTCTATTTGAAAGGAGAGAGAGCAGATACGCAGGCTTCAGCAACAACACTCGCCCCTCCTAAAGGACCTTTCTATTGCTCCAATAGGTTTTACATGTTATGATTGCTTCCTTCTATTCTTCCATCTAGGCTTCAATTTATTTGATGTCCTTCTTTCATAGGCCAAAACCAATCCAAATTTGCTGTGTGAATTTGGCGTTGGCTGGCATCTTGTCCAAACCTGACAAGGCAACCCCCCCCCCAAAAAAAAAAACAAGATGGAGCCCACGAACCCGAATGCAAACACGTTCGAAAAGCTACATATGTCCAAATGACACTCTTGTAGGACACTCTTGTGGGACACTCTTCTGGGACACTCTTGTAGGATACTCTTGTGGGTCACTCTTGTAGGACACTCTTGTGGAACACTCTTACAGGACACTCTTGTAGGACACTCCTGAAAGGCACTCTTGTAGGACACTCTTGTGGGACACTCTTGTAGGACACTCTCGTGGGACACTCTTGTAGGACACTCTTGTCGGGCACTCTTATGGGACACTCTCTTGTGAGACACTCTTGTAGGACACTCTTGTGGGTCACTCTTACACGACACTCTCGTAGGACACTCTTGTCGGGCACTCTTATGGGACACTCTCTTGTGAGACACTCTTGTAGGACACTCTTGTGGGTCACTCTTACACGACACTCTTGTAGGACACTCCTTGTGGCACTTGTGGGACACTCTTGTAGGAAACTCTTGTGGGATACTCTTGTGGGACACTCTGGTGGGACACTCTTGTAGGACACTCTTGTGGGACACTCTTGTGGGATACTCTTGTGGGATACTCTTGTAGGACACTCTTGTGGGACACTCTTGTGTGACACTCTTGTAGGGAAACTCTTGTGGGACACTCTTGTAGGACACTCTTGTGGGATACTCTTGTAGGACACTCTTGTGGGACACTCTTGTGACAGTCTTGTAGGAAACTCTTGTGGGACATGGGACACTCTTGTAGGACACTCTTGCCGGACATTCTTGTGGGACACTCTTATAGGACACTCTTGTGGGTCACTCTTATGGGACACTCTTGTCGGACATTCTTGTGGGACACTCTTGTGAGACACTCTTGCAGGACACTCTTGTGGGGCACTCTTGTGGGACACTCTTGTAGGACATTCTTGTAGGACACTCTTGTGGGACAATTTTGTGGGACACTCTTGTGGGACACTCTGGTGTGACACTCTTGTAGGAAACTCTTGTGGGACACTCTTGTGGGACACTCTTGTTGGACACTCTTGTAGGAAACTCTTGTGGGACACTCTTGTAGGACACTCTTGTGGGACACTCTTATAGGACACTCTTGTGGGACACTCTTGTGGGACACTCTTGTAGGACACACTTGTAGGCCACTCTTGTGGGACGCTCTTGTGGGACACTCTTGTGGGACACTCTTGTGGGACACTCTTGTGGGACATTCTTGTGGGACACTCTTGTGGGACACTCTTGTAGGAAACTCTTATGGGACACTCTTGTAGGACACTCTTGTGGGACACTCTTATAGGACACTCTTGTGGGACACTCTTCTGGGACACTCTTGTAGGACCACTCTTGTGGGACACTCTTGTGGCTGTGGGACACTCTTGTAGGACACTCTTGTGGCACACTAGAAGCACTCCTGCGAGCGTTTCGTACGAGACGTCCTCCAAAAGTCACGCTTCGAGGCTGCGCAAGACGAGCGTTTCGTTCGAGACTTTCTCCAAAAGTCACGCGTCAAGTCTCCAAAACGAGCGCTTCGTACGAGACTTCCTCCAAAAGTCACACGTCAAGTCTCCAAAACGAGCGTTTCGTACGAGACTTCCTCCAAAAGTCACGTGTCAAGTCTCCAAAACGAGCGTTTCGTACGAGACTTCCTCCAAAACTCACATGTCAAAGTCTGCAAAACGAGGATTTCGTACGAGACTTCCTCCAAAAGTCAAGCGGAAACACCCATCGGAGCACACACATCACGCAGCCCTGCCAAGCAGTTTCGCGAGTCCAGCCCCTCCAAACAATACCCCCTCACACGCCAATCCCAATGTGACAGCGACATTCACCTCTACCACAACTCACGACCTCACGATTCCCTGCGCCTGCCACGAATCTTTCCGCATCCACACGTCTAACGCGCACAAAGTACTGCGCCTGCCACGAAATGTCACCTCCGTCACACCTCGCAACCTCACGATTTCCTGCGCCTGCCACGAGAATCGCACTTCCACACCTCAAAATCAGCACAAAGTACTGTGCCTGCCTCGAAAAGTGAGAAGATCATCTCACGTGAGCTTCAACAAAATTTGCACCACACCACACGTTTAGAATGATTTCGACCCGTTCTGAGCACACTCCCATCCACCAAAATCGCCATTTCAGCTGAGACTTGTCACGAAAACAGAGCTTCGATGCCACACCCTGAAACGCAAATCCCAATGGCACGGCCACATCCAACACCCCAAAAACACGACTCTCCAAACGCTAATCCCAATGGAACTGCGCAGTCAACTGCGGATCTCTCAAACCACTGCGCCTGTGCAGCGACATGCATCACGCTTCTTGCGCGACATGTCATTTTCATGCAAATCACAATGGAATAGCGTCGCAAACTGACACGTGACACATCCATGAAAAGTCACTTACAAAAGCTTCCCCCAATGGCAGCGCCTTAGCGTCCTACTGCGAACGGTTGCGAACGGTTGCGGACGGTTGCGAACATAGAAGCAACGGGTCGCGAACAAGACTCTACCCCCAGACCCCCAGAGTTAAACGAGAACCCTTCGCTACGCATTCGGGAAAAATTATATATATATATATGAATCATTGTTTTCACTGACATAAAGACCTATCAAAGTTCTTGTACCTAGTCTAGCACCTTACCTTCATAGAAATTGCTAAGTCAAAACAACTTGACCAAGAAAAATCCTTGTGAAGAATGAAGCAGCCTTCTTTTTTGGTTTAGGTGCGTTTGGACGTGTGTAGAACCCTTTAAGCAAGACAGATACAACCTACTGGAGCAATAGAAACACTTACTGAGACAGGACACCATAAAAAAATTGTTGCCCGGATAGAAGTTAATAGATGTTGTTGCAACTTGGTCTAGTTCATGAATTCCTTTGTTTGAATGTTGATGCCCTTAAGAAGGCAATGTCAAAAAGCAACATAATCCTTGCGAAGGTTGAAGCGGCGTCCTTTTGGTGCTCAATTCAATAGAGTTGAGAATATAAGAAAAAATTAAGCAAAACATACATATCCCGATTAAAGCAATTGAAAAGCCTTTTGAGACTGGGCTTCACAGGAAAAAATCTGTCTAAACCTTTGTCGGCCTGGTCTGAACAATTCAAGCAAAACAACAGCTCAAAACTTAGGTTGTTGTGAGGTGTCAGCCACAAACCACTGTAAAGCAGCGTGTTTTTGTTCATATGTTGCCATAACAACAAAACATTGAAGCAACAAATTGTTCCAAAACCTAAGTTTTTTGCGATGTTTCAGCCAAAAACCATTGTAAAACATAATGTTTTTGTAGATTTTCACGAAAACCATCTCCCAGGAGCACCCGTTCTGTGTTTTCCCCGGCCTAAGGATCACCATCTACTCACCACCCAACTTTTTGGTCCTTCACCTGTCCGAGCCTCAGCGATGGCCGCGCCGGGTTTTGACGCGCCTTCGCGCCGTCCGGGCCGTGAGACGGAAAAACCGGAGAGATTGGTGGGGAAGACGGGAAAAGAAGGGTTGAACATCTGAATCATTTGCTGTTCAAAAAAGGGTTGAACAGGAAATGGTTTAAGTGCACTGGTTTGGCCAAAATTGATGCAGCCAGTGGATGCCAGTGGTGCCTGATACAAATTTTCTTTGTAATATGCAACCAGAGTTTTTCACTGGTGAATGTGTTCATTTGGAGGTCCTTCACCAGCGGGTGGTTTGAACTGTGTCGTTTAAACCTCAAATCCATGTTCAAGGCATCTCTTGGATATTAGATGTTCGAATTGCCGTCATGCAGCACTCACACATGAGCTCCACACATGAGCCCTCTCATCCAATTCATCCATCCAATCCCCAAATACCCAAAACAGAAGACGCAAGAAGTCCTGAGGAATCAGATATGAACAGATCCTCAGACGCAGTTGAACAAGCCACCAGAGAGACGCGTGACTGACTCGTGACTGCCACAGGAAGCGCTTCCGCTTCATGGAGCGCGGCAAGGCTCGAAGTGCGGCAAGGGCCGAGTCGGTCAGAGGGGTTTGGATGGAAAGAAACAAATATGATGATGTAATGGAGTAATTATCCCAGATTTTGATGTTTTTTTTGCATTAATGTTGCTTGATGTTCATAGTATTTCGAAGTTTTGTGCATCATGGCCCATATGGCCCATTGAATACATATCCACAACGATTCCTCCCTTTCAAAACCAACTAGAAATGTGATGTTGGCCAACCCGATCTTGGTTCACCATGGTTCACCATCCACAGAACTTGCCCCTGTCGGAGGTCCGACCGCTGAAAACCTGCCCACCGGCAGGACCTTTGTCGTCCCTCAAACCCAACGACCTCAGCCCAGGTCCCTCAGTTCCTGGGCTCCTCGGTCACCAAGTACACCAAAGAAGACTCACGACTCGCCACCTTTCGTCCACGAAGAGGAGGACCTAGATAGGACCTATATTTCATCCACATGGGACCGTGGACCTGAAAAAGAAGAAGCCAAGCGCAGCAGGTCACCAAGATCGTGCCCTTCCCAGCGATCTTGAACCTGCGGCCCTTCTTGAGCTCAGGCAGGCTGACTCTTGCGTCGTCAAGGGACAGGACGAAGGGACGGTGGGTGTCGGTTCAGCAGCCCAAGCCACAGGTGGTAGGCAGGTGGGAGTGGCATGCGGGTTGTCAAGACCCGGAAATGGAGAGAAATGGTTGCCAATACATTCTTAATTATAGTTGGATTTTGAATTGTTTCTATTGATATGGGGGTCTTATAGTGTGATCAAGTGGAGGCCGTAGAGGGCCAAGATGTAATTTCTGGACTCCCAAAAGTATCCCCTCGGTCATCAGCTTCAAAGTATTCCCGCAAGGGGCAGGTTCTGTGATCTTCAAGAAGATCAAGTTCAGTTGTTGTGGAGTTTGCTCAAGCTTGGCCTTCATTGGCCTTGAGAGGAACGATCAGGGCTGTTGAGGAGACACTGCCACCTTGGCCTTCATGTCCCGGCACAACTTCCAGCAGAACGACCCAGGCCACCGTGAACCGGGTCGTGTCACGTCGTCGTCGTCGTCGTCGTCGTCGTCGTGGTCGGGTCGATCCAGGCGCCTCGGGAGAAGGACGTCCTGTGGAGTATGAGCTCGGGGGCCTTGGAGGAAAGGAGGAAAGCGAGAAAAAGACCTGGATGATCATGGATAAGGGGGGAGTGAGTGGTGAGTGGCGTGCGTTGTGTAACTTGTAGGTTGCTGCGATGTTTGCAGCGGAACAGAACTCCTGGACTCCCAGATCGACCCAGTGGGGCTCGATGTCGTGAGTGATCGTCGGCCATTGGAGCGCAAATCCCAACGTCTGTCCTTTGGAAGTGTTTTGTTGTACCACTTGGGGGTTTTGGGTTTGCCAAGATGATGAATGATTGATGATATTGATGAATATATTGTATTTGAGAGAGTCCAAGAAAGTGGTTTGAGATGGTTTGAGAGTCAAGGATTGTATTGTACTTTCCAAGTGGTTTGGAAGTCGGTTTGTATTTGAGTCAAGATGATTGTAAGATGTTGCCGAGTGCAATGCAGCAACTTGAAGGCTTAGCAGAAGAGCAACAACAGGACAGATTGTCTTCTATGTTGCTGTTTATTGGGAATTCTCTTGTAACCACGACCCTCGCTACGACTGGATTGTCCTGGCACCTACATGTCTCAGTGTCGAACACATCACCATACCTGAGCCACGGAATAGACGATGTGTGCCTGTCATTCCCCAGGCTCAGAGCCGTGATCGTGCACGTGGATAAGGCGTGATCGTGATCGAGCCAAGCGCGCCGTGCCAAGCTGGTTTTTTGTGGGTGTCGTTTTGAGGGTTTTGTTTGGACGAAAAAAACATAACATAGTTAATTAATTAGGAGTGGTTTTGGGAGATTGATTTACTCCCCTGGATGTTTGGGGTTTTGTTGCCAGACATCTTATAGCCAAACACCCACAAAGATGGGCCTTCAGCTGGCCAACGTCGCTTATGGTTTGGTACTTGGACATGTTTACCAGAGAGCGCCAATGGGGGGTTGGGAAATTTCTCCGGAATCCTTTACGAATACTTGATGAGCGTTTGGTTTGAGTTCTTGTTGGTTTAATGCATGGTTCATAGAAAATGAGAGTTCACCTAATCGATGCTTTGTAGCCTGTCGATAGAGTCCCTCTCCGCAGGCTGATTGAGAGGACATCGCGGGTACTGGGACATGTCTCGCGTCGACCCTTGACTTGGTGCATTTCGGATATTCAAAACATGTTTAAACAATAACAGGTAAGTGAGTTACTGTCATGTTGGTTCATGTTGGTTCATATAGGTTCATATTGATCATATTGCTCGGCTTGCTTGGTTGCCTGCTTGGCACTACCCTCATCAACTCCAGAAGACCCACTCCAGAAGCGGAGAACCTACTACCTGTGGCAGGCGGGATACTCGCACTTTGGCCATTACATCGCCTTCGTGAAATGCGCCACCCACCGCAGCTCGAGTGAAGAGGAGCTCGACGAAGACGGAGGTTAGGAGGTTTTAACCGGGTTGGAGGCCATCGCTGATATGCATGGCTTGTTGCCTTCTGCAAGTGAAGAGCACGACGATGATATGACAAGTTCATGCAACATACCTTGCAATTTCAAGGATTTGTGGGTAGGTATGAAGATGTAAGAAGTGTCGCTAGCTTCATGAAGCTCTTTTTTGCATCCTAATTGCCACTCAAAAAGCCCTTTTTGCATGCTAATTGTTCGGATGTCATCCCTGAGAACCGAGGTAAGAACACCTTCCAGTGGTTTCGCATCGATGATAGCATCATCCAGGAGGTGGAGGAGCAGCAGGCCAGCACCTAGTTGAGCTCAAAGGTTGAGCTTCTTCACGCTATGTAGGGTGTAACCAGCAAAACAACCAAGCTCACCGAATGGATCATTGGGTACTACCTTTGTTTCCGGAAGTCTACCCCACCCCCACCTAGAGCAGCTAGTTCATGTGATTGTTCCTCAGGGAGTCCCATCAGGTTTCATCCAATTCGAGCTTTGATGGATGTTTGGTCAGGAACTGGATATCGGGGTAGATTAAATTCCATGGACTTTCAGTTCGCCTAGAGTGAACTGTTCGTCCATGGCAGATGGACTCTTTGGAATTTGGAGGCAGATTGCTACGAAGTAGTCTACGAAGTATAGAGAGACACTCTACAATGTTGCTAGCTAGACGGTATTTCATATGATCAGTGTTTCTATCCATCTTACTATCAGTATCAGTATCAAACCGAGCCTCAAACAGAGCTGGGTCAAAGTACAACCCCCTGAGTGTGTGGCCCTTTCCCATTCGGAGATCGCCGACCAAAAACCGCTCCGTCGGCAGGTGCTCCAGCAGCAAGCCTACCTCCTCTTCTACACGCGCATTGGTGCCAGCCAGGAGGCGGCCACGCTTCACTCACCAGTGTGCCATCGTTTTCTGGTTGTGTGTGTGAGAGTGTGAGTGTATGTGCACCCTGAATTCAAAGGTTGCCAAAATTAGCTTCGTCTTTGCGCTTTTCGTCTTCAAAGCAGCGAGGCCTTGCGGCGCCCCGACGCGGCGGCGGGCGCCGCCGGCGCCGCCGCACCGAGCCGAGGAGATGGGGGCAGCTGGACTGGGACTGGGCTGGGCCTTGGTTTCCCTGGTTTAACAGAGGTAGGTTCAACATGTTTTGATGTAGAATATGTAGGTTCAACAGGTTTGTACCTGTTTTTGGTAAAACTCCGAATCTGGATCTCAGGTTGATGGACATGGCAAGCATTGTGTTGGTTCCAACGACCGGTTGGGGGTCGACAGGGTGTAGGAACGGTCACGGTGTGGTGCATGTTGTGAACATGATGCGGATAAAGAAGGATGGGTTCTCCCTAAGCAACCGGTACTTGATGTTTTCGTTTGCTGCCATAGTTGAACAAGCAGTTTAAATGGTGGTTCCTCACACTTCGGTGCGGGGCAGGGTTGGGTTGAGCTCTACTCCTGTGCTGTACTTCCTGTTTTCCTTGCACAGCTTACTGACACAACAAACTTTGTCAACTCACTCATAGATCTGACTCACTCAATGACTCACCTGACTCCCCCACCTCACTCTTGAATCACCCTGCAAAGCTGCCTTGTCTGAAGTCCGGCAGGTGCTTGCTGAAGTTTGAGAGCATTCACATCTCGTTAGAATGTGAGGATGACAACAACCAGGATGAGGATGAGGATTTTGATGAACGATGCGACCGAAGATGCACCGAAGATGCATGAGCAAATGATGAGTGAATGGTTCAACCTTGATGCTGGTGAGGATGACATGGATCCACGGATCTCACTCAAAGTGTAGCGGAAACGTTGTAGGTCCTTCATTCATGGGACTGTTTGGTCCTTTGATTTTGGATTTCAAGTAGGGATGAGGATGAGGAGGATGGGTCAATGCCCATTTCCTGGCTGCGAAGGGGTTGAACATATTGCACATGTTGGATTTGTAGCTTCATCAGGGTTGGATGGTCTTGCACAATTTTTTGGGGGTTGAAGATGGTTTGAACATGGAATGAATATGTCATGTTAATTCCATGTTCATATCATGTTCAACCTATCCTGAGATGATACAGGTACACTCGCTGGAACTAACATGGAAGTGGAACATGACCCCGAAAGGAAGACCATTTTTCCAATACCCAAAACAGGGGACAGTTTTCCGCCGCTTCCATGTGAGTTCGAGTAGGTGAAACCTGGTGAACTCACCAAGCAGATAGTGAAACCAACTACTGAGCAGACCTACAAAGCTTGGGAGAGTTCCCGGTGAAACCTTGGAAGTGGCTCTTCTCATCTCTTCTCTGTCGGTGGCTCTGGTGAGACCTGGTGAAGCCTCTTGTTGACCCATGACAGGGACTTTCAGGCTGACCAGATTGAAAGCGATTCCTATGTCGACAGGTGACTCTTTTTATGCAGTTTGCATACTCCAGACATCTCCAAACTAAGTTCAACGTGGTACGCCCTGGAAGAGACCCACATGGAACCTGAAAACCACGGCGTCCCAGAGGAAAATAGTCTTTGGATGTCTTTGGAAGGTCTATTTTCAGGTTCCATGTTAATCTTCCCGGGTGCAAGTGTCGGTTGTTCTGCAAAGTCCTATAGCTGTGTCCCATTTTCCGCGCCAGGCCGTTGCAAAGGCCGCGAGGGCGTCATTTGCTCCTTCTATGCCTGTGCCGAGGGCCTGTGCACGCGTTGCTACCAGGAGGAGTATGGCAGGCGCCCGTCTCGCTTCCGTCGGCGGAGAGGAGCGATGCGGAGCCGATGTCGATGTCGATGTAGGAGTGGGTGAAGTGAAGTTTCAGCACACACTGAATTGTGTACGGGGTGAAGTGGGTGAAGTGGGTGAAGTGAAGTGAGTGGGTGGAGTGCGCTTCTGAGAGCCTCGTATTTTTGCGAAATTGGATGGTGCCACCCTGACAAAGGATGCCGTTCCACGATGCTGCAACGATTCCCATGTTCCTCCAAAATGCTCCACCACACGATCTTATTCCTTTTCTAGGAACAGCAGACCTTCTAGCAGATGTCTTCACCAAGTCGGCCTTGAAAGACATCCCGATTGCATACAATTGCCACGAAAAAGATCTTTTGATACTGCAACACACACAAAAAAGAGAAATACTTTGTGTGCCATCAATTGCAAGTTCAAAAAAAAACAAAAAAACATGCTGCCATGCATTAAATAACTTGCCTTACAAGATACGTTTAATGAACAAAGCACAACTCGCCAATCCAAGTCCGCTGGGATCCTTTCGCCGGCCGCGTCGTCAAAACCGGACCGACCGAGAGCTTCTCCGCTTCAGGCCGCCACCGGCCGAGGCGCAAGAAGCAGGCGGGTGTGGAGGATTAATTGAGTTAGTCGTGGAAAGGTCTTTGTTGGAATAGGAGGAGGAGAGTTTCACTCCTGTACCTGCAGCTGGAAAGGAAAGAAAACAACCACATTCGAACAATGTTATTGCGTATAAAGTATGCATAATAAGAAAAGAACAACTGTATTATGCAAAAGTGAGTCTGCTGACAGACCAGCATTCGCAGCCTAGATGTGTGGTGCTTCACCACACCTGGAGCCTATTGGCACGTCACCTGCTGCGCCGATCACTCCTGTACCCGCAGCTAGAAACAAGGGCTCTGATGACTCCAGCGTTGGAGGCAAGTGCGGTGTCTTCACCCACCTGGGTGTGTATTCGAATATAGGGGAGATCCCCGACCCATGGCGACCCATGGGTTGGTTGGTTCGTCCTGTTCCTTCTTCCTTGCGGTCGAACTGGAGCTCTCCCTGTCATTCCGCACCCACTTGCTTGAACCGGCGCTCCGCTGTGTTCCACACCGCTTCGGCCCGGGCACGTGACCACCACCGTGACCACCACGAAGTGGCGGCCCGGGTCGAAGTCGCACAGGCTTCAGGACCAAGGCCAGTTCGACAGCCAGCGCCAGCCTGGGTCGAAGGCTTCAGCACCAAGGCGAAAGCTGGCGAACGCTGAACCGGATTAGCTAGCAGTTCCTATCAAGGCCAAAGCTGAGCAGAAGACAAAGGAACCTTCCACTGGGCAATGCCTGGGGCAATGCTCTGTTGATCCATCAGAAGCCGCCTTCGTGATTGTAGTTTTGTGTGCTCGATTGACGATTGATGAGTGCAATAAGAGTTGGTGGAACTCGAAACCTGCCTTGCAGAAACCGCAACTTAACAGTAGAATACTGTTGAGGTGGAGAGTAGAATACATGTCGTGGAACTTAACGAAGGCCGGGATTTGGAACATACTGGTTTGTTTGCACTTGTTGATGTACGTGTTGAATGGCAGTGTTCATGTCAGTTTGAATGCTACTGTTGTTATCATGACTTCCCACCCCACCTCCCACAAAAACAATGAACATGGTTTGTTTGTGCATGTTCGAGTACATGTTGATTCCTACCAGCCGAAAAGGGAGAGTGCGCACTGCTTCTTCCCTTTTCTTAAAACAGCGCGAGATTGAAATGAGTGCTGCAAATGTTCACTGCGCATTCAGGAAAACACATGAAAAGGAATGTGAAAAACATGTAATATATTGATCTATTTAAGCAAGCAATGCTGGACCATTCATTTTGGACTCACACACAGCAACGTACTTTGGAGAATTTTGGAGACCTCTTACTCTAGACCCTTCCTCGATTGTTTGGTCGGGGTGGTAGCGGTAGGGGTGTCTTTTGCAAATCCAAATCCAACATCAATTTGACATTCTTAGACCAAGGCGTCACAGGACACAAAGGGACACTCCTTCAACCCCTTTCAACCTTGCACACACCTCGACCTTGTGCTTCGCCGCCTAGCTGCGACCAGATCCTCGGCGGACCGCTCGCGCTCCAGGCAGCGCCTCCAACGGCTACACGGTCACAGCCACCCCGAAAGCTGCACCGTCAGCGCCCGCGTCAGCGCCGGCGCCAGGCCAAGGCATCGACCTTTCGGGGGGTTGGTATATACACTTCCTGGAACCAACACGAAAGTGGAGAATGGCCCCTTGGAAGACAATTTTCCACTACAAACAGTGGTTTTCCACTTCCATGTTAGTTTTCGGGAGTGTAAGCCAACACAGTGGAGATCTGGAGATCTGGTTGTGAGCAAAGGTTTTTCTTTTTGGAGCATGACATGAGCGAAGTTTTCAGTATCTTTCTTCGGGGAACATGTCCGAAAATGATCGAACATGTGCGTGTATACTATAGGCTGAGAGTTTGGAATTCTTGAGGTTGACACCAAGCATAGTACTACGAGACCTGGCTGGCACAACAATGTCATGGTTGAAAACTTCAAGGTTGCTCATCTTCTACGGAATGCATTTTTTTGGTTTGTGTGAATTACAACCGCGAAACGTTACACAGAAAGCCCGATATCACATTCCCACTTGACAAGCAATACGTCCACAAGGTCTCCTGGCGGAGAAATGCAGAAACCAAGCACGGTTGAGATATAGATATCCAACATGATTCAGATTTTTTGCTGGACATCGATCGAGTTCTCCAGCATCGTTCATCGATCGAGTTCTCCAGCATCGTTACCGGTCCTTCGATCGTCCGATGTCCCCCCTTCAACGGCGCCACATGTCGACCTTTGCTTCGAAGGGTAGCTGCTTCTCCACGAGATCCGGCCAGGAAAGGCGGCGAAGAGCGGGGCCAAGCCCAAAAAGGCCTGGCTCTCTGCGGTGCGCTGTAGGGTACTGAAGGTGGTCAAAATGCTTTCAATGTGGGAGCAGGTGACATGGTTTCTAGTCTATAGGCAGGTCCAAGGATCATGAACAGTTGCCTAGATCACATGTTTGGGTTCCTTCCACTTTCATGCAGGTGGGTGTCCAGTTTTTTGGCGGTTGCATCGCAAAACCGAGCGACACGACTTCGTTCCCCAGTCTTGAGGTCGGATGCTCCAGCTGAGCAACACCCCCTTTGAACCACTTCCACCTGGATCGTGTTCTTTCCTTCCCTCGCATCATCGAAACCCATCGAAACATGCTGCTGCAGTGACATCAACTCCTAGACCCTCTTCTCCAACTGCTCGAGCCTCTTCTCCCTCCCCGGCCAGAAACGCTCAGAACGCCACGGTCCGTCTGCGCCACGTCGGCGCAGCAGCTGCGCAGGTCGGGGCCAATGATCCCTGCCCCTGTGGTAGCGGCAAGAAATACAAGAAATGCCACGGAGGTTCGGGGGCTTGAGTCAGCTGATGGGGTGTGGGGGGACGGCGGGGTGAAAGTGTGTGATGATGTGTTTTCCAGAAAGATGGACAGGAGATACATGGAGATACCGATATATATATATATTCCTTATTCCTTATAGAATGATTGTGTAGGTGGTGACACACACGTCATCCGCAGAGATTTGAAGAGAGTTGGTAGCAAGCATTTGTTGAACTGGAACAGCGAGTCAGGGTTCTTGCTTGAGCTCCCGCTAGAGCTTTCTTTTGGCTCATACTCAGAGCCCTTCAAGATGAAGGTCCCAGTGCCCTCAACCAAGACGATCCTTTCTCACATGCTTACTCCTACCATCTCAATCAGCTAGGTCTCAGACCTATCTTAATCGTTCAGGCTTCAGGATGAGCCATCCTGATGCTTAATCCGCTGCTCCTCGGGTGATGTACCTCAGAGTCTCATCCCATGAGCTTGAGAGATGGAGATGGCCCTGTTCAATTCATAACCCCCGTACCAGCATGGTTTTTGTTCACTTCCATGCAGAGGGGGGTTAGTTGATCAAAGCCCCCCTACCATAATGTTGTTTTTCAAAAAACATATGGGAGTTCTACTTATTCATCAACATGCAGTCTACATGGCAAGAGGTGGAACCTTCGGCAGGAAACTGCTTGGGGTTCTTTTAGCTTCAGCTCCGTGGCCAGGAGCCTAGCAGCCTACTCCGTGCACCATGCCACACCACGCCTGCATGACGCCCGGCACGGGTGCTGAGCGGGCTCAGTTTCTTCGGATGACGAGCACTTTGTGTTTTTTGTTCTTTTGTGCGTTTTGAGCAGATGTGTTTAGTTGAAGAGATCAATCACCGGAGTCAGTTGTTCTACTACACATCCGAGGTTCTACAATTTGGACAGGTCCAATTCCGACCTGGACGGGTCATCTGGTAGCATCGCTTCCGTTGTGACGGGTCAACATCCGAAGAAGCTATGCGAAGAGTCACAATAGGAAGTTATGGTACTAAGTGAGGTACGAACAGTTATGGTACCATACTAGTCAGAGTTACGGTTAGAGTGAGGTTCCTACTGCTCATACGTTTAAAATACTTCGCCCTGCAAAGCCTTGGCGTCACGACGTTCACCCAACCCCCCCTGAGTCACGCTCTTTGAGTCACGCTCTTTGGCCTCGTGGGACCGGTCAATGCCCGGTCAACGTGGGGATTCATGTCTTGCGAAGATCCATCCACTCCTCCACATGATCGATCCTGGAGGATCTGGAGGAGTGGTGAACGGGGGGTTCATCCTCCTGGAGGATCGATCTGGTTCATCTCATCCACTCCTCCAGGTTCAACTCCCCTCACCGCGAGTGACTTGGTCAGGACACAATCAAAACGAACCGTGATGAAGTCTTCGAAAGAGGACCCAGATTTCCAATTGGTGTGGTCGTACAAAGGAGAATAATCCGTTCAGCTTTTGTTCGCAGAACGTTCCAATGCAGTTCCGTGCCTCACGAAGGACAAGGATAACGCCTTGCATTGGTCTGAGAGGATACCTTGTTTATGGCTTCGTCACTTCTTATTCTCTCTTATCCTTCGCAATACTTTGCACAAAGCCAAAATACTTTTCAAATAAAGTTGCACACAACTACAACATCCCCAAATGTGACATAATATATATATATATATATACTTGCATATACATGTTTGATGCAAGACATGTTTTGTCACAATACACATATATCTACCATTGTTCCAAGACATATACCATGATCTTTCCAATGCACAGTCCATGCACCACGGTCAACCTCTCCATCGAACGGTTCTGCCGAGGCGATGGACCGAACCGGCCGCCGCCAGCGGTGCACCGGCGCCCGGTTCGTTCTCAAAAGCGGTTGACCCGGGCTTGGAGGAGGTAGGTACAGAGGTAGATGGATAGATAGAGTGGGGTTGGTCCAAAGATATGTTGAGTTTAATCCCATACATGTTTAATGGTTAAAACCTTACATTCTTGATTGAACCCTACTTTTTTGATTTGCCAAAGGTATATCCAACAAACATGTGTTGCATAAGCAAAATCAGCACCTCGCCACCCTGTTCACTACATGTCACTGATGATCCTTCATTTGTGTTATGATCCTCTGAGAGGACATACAAGGAAGGAAACGTTATCAACGTCGCTGCGCGAGTGACTTGCAGTGACCAAGAGGTGCCACCCTTTTTCGCATGACGGAGCCACAGACAGATACTGTATCCATATGGTTCATATATAATCAAACTGAGCCAGGGACTCTGGAGCCAAAGGAGGCTCTTGATTCACTGATCCAACAAATGATCAGAATTAGTAGGATCAAACTATACCGTAGTTAGCTGGATCACAGACAAAAGACAACAGTTCAGTTCATTATCCTTTCCTCTCAGTCAGCCCGGAGAGCGAACCTGGCCCAGAAGCCATCGGCGACCTGGGGCAGAAGACCGGACCCGGGGTCATCCCCGTGGGCCACGCGTGTCGAGCAGGTCACTGTGGACCAAAAAGGGAGCGGGCCGGCGGGCTTCGTCGGACGGACGGGCGTTTGGGATGGTTTGATTCAGGAGCCCGAAGTCGTTGTGTGACCCGTTTTTTGGTGTTAGAGCAAGGCGGTAGCAACAGATTCATGTCGCGACTCTGACGGGGCTCAATTGGTAGATCTTGTAAGTGAGTGTTATAAGTTTGGTGCATTTCGGTGCATGCATGATATGTTCGTTTTTCTGGTACCGCTCCCAAACAAGTTCGATATGACTTCGTGTTGCTACCAAAGAAAGAACTCCTCGGCAACATTCACCCAAGCAACCAAAACCCTCTAGAAAGCCTCTAAAGCCTCATCACATGCTTATAATATGTTTGAACTTCTCCCTCTCCCAGCTCCCCTCAACCAGCCAACTCCAACGGCCTCTCCGTGCTCCGCGCGACGCTCACCGCGCTCCGTCGTCAGGGGATGGAGGAGCTCCGAAAGTCGGGAGAGGCTCTGGCGCGGGAGACCAAGCAACAGTGCCCGGGCCACCCAGGTGGTGCCCAATCCGCGCCCGCTCGCGGCGGTTCCCCGGTGCTGCCGCGGACCGTTGGTTTCGGGTTCCCCGGTGGACCGCGACGAAGTTCGGGGGCGCTCGTGCGGGGGAGACAGCGACATGGCCGCCTTGCATGGCATGGAAACCTTTTTTCAGACCCAGCTCCAGGCGAGCAAGACCAAAGGACAACAGGAGAAACAGGAGAAACTATGTTGGAAGCTTTTGCTAAGGATCTTGATTGTTCAAAGCTTTTGCTTGGTGAACTGTTGTAGCTGTTCTTTTGCGTTTTGAAGTCGTGGTTGAGTTCTCACTCACGGGTGCATAGAGGGCCCCGTCATTGTGCTTCCCAATTCAAAAGTCCCAGCCCAAAATCAATGAAAGCCTATAGTTGTCCTTTGTCCTAGGAGTACAATCAATCAAAGGGGACCTCTATAGTTCTTGTTGCATCTGGTTGATCTGTTTTTTTTGTTTCGGTTCTTCACCAAGTCTTTGGACCATTGGATGCCACTGCCCAGATGCACAGCGTCTGTCACCGCGCTGCCACCGCGCGACATCGCACGGCGTCGCACCGTCGCTGCCACCGCTGTCGGCGTTGGGAGGTCATGAGTGGGTCGGCACTGCCTTGGGAAAGCTGGAGTCCCTGGCGATCAGGCACCCGACATGACATGAGCGGCTAAAGACACCGGGTAAAGACACCGTGAGGACTACGGGGTAGGAGGTCGAATGCATTTGCAGGGTGGAACGATCTACTGGAGGATTTGTGTGGGAAAACATCGGGTTTTCCAGCACTGTCCGACTATCAACTACAAACATGTGTCCCTCGGTCCAGGAGCCGTGAACAGCTGCAGTCCTTTCAAGCAGAGCTGCCCTTCACCGTGAAGAGGCCCGATGTCGTTGCGGCGCCCGGGGGCGCCCGATAGCCCAATGTCAGATGGGTTCTTCATCCTTAAACCAAGAGACGCGTCAGACGGGTATAGAGGACATGTGTGGTCCGCGCAGTTTTTTGAGATGCACCAACAAATGTTCCGACCACTAATTACTGGTTTAGCTTGTTAAGGCATCAGTGCCAAGATGTTGATGATCAGTGGCAGAGAACAAAAGACTGCTCTGACCTCTTTGCTATGCTATAGGTGGTGGTTTTGGAAATGTGTATGTTCAACCTTTACTTGGTTGATCATTTTTTGTGCATCACTGACGAAATATATCACTTTGTGATCGTTGTGT